AAGCCACATTTCATCACTCCCATGTATACGAGAATCAGGATGCAGCTTGTGATCATTCACAGCCAGGCAGCAACCATGAAGTAATTATTCTTTGCTGTTAAGAGCATGCACAGGCAGGTGTAGTTGTTTTATTTGCTCTTTGAGGTGCCTGACACCCAGTTCCCAAATAAATACACAGAAGCTTATACCTTTTTACAAATGCCCAGCCTTAGCTTGGCTTGTTTCTAGCCAGGTTTTCTTAAATTATTCTGTCTACCTTTTGCCTTTTGGCTTTTACCTTTTTCTGTTTCTGTATATCTTTCACTTACTACATGGCTTGCTGTGTAGCTGGGTGGCTGGCCTCTCAGCAGGGTGACTGGCCTCTGTTGTCCTCCTCCTTCTTTTCTTGTTCCTTGAAATTCTCTTCCTGTATTTCTCCTCCTATTTATTCTCTCTGCCTGCCTGCCCAGTCTTTCTCCTGCCTAGTGGCTGTGCAGCTCTTTATTACATCAATCAGGTGTTTTAGACAGGCACAGTAATACAGCTTCACAGAATTTGGCAGATGCAACATAAAAGAATGCAGCACATCTTTGCATCATTAAACACACATTCCACAGCATAAGCAAAGGTAACACATCTTGAACTAATATTCCACAACAGGCAGGTTACCATCAGACTTGATGAATCACAGTAACTTCACAAAAATTTTCTGGAGATGCTGTTTTAATCCTCAACAAACAAACAAACAAAAAAGCAAACCCAGCCAAACATGCACATTCTGAACTTGCCTGAAGCAAGAGCCAAAAATCCGTTTTACTCTTGATATTGTCAGGGGAATGGTTCTAGGAAACTCCTTCAGGTCACAAGATCTGTAGATGCAGAAGTCTTATCAAGAGATGTAGTATTTGCATATAACCTATGCACCTCCTCTTCTATACAGATGCTCCTTGACTTAGGGTGAGAATTTGTCCCATATGGCTTGATGATAAAGTTGAAATAATTTTTTGTTTGTTTGTTTTTAAAGATAGGGTTTCTCTGTATTGTTTTGGAGGCTGTCCTGGAATTTGCTCTGTAGACCAGGCTAGCCTCAAACTCACAGAGTTTCGCCTGCCTCTGCCTCTCCAGTGCTGGGATTAAGGGTGTGTGCCACCAATGCTCAGCTAAAGATGAAATACTTTAAGTTGACCCATCATTAAGTTAGAAACTCTTTAGTTTCAGTTATCTCTAAATTGCTTATGCAGTAGAGTATACTTCTGTTATACTTTTATTATAATTACTTAGCTAATTGTTCCTTAATTACTTATTAAATATCCAGTAGAGATTAAATTCTATATAAAGAGTTGATATACTAGATGGTTAAGGGAATATTGATAAGAAAAACACTCTGTATTTGTTCAGAACACACAGTGCCATTGTGCCCTGTAACAGTATACAAATGCTAGATGAGCAACTCTAAAACAGAGTGTTGTGGGGCATGCCAGCATATCATTCCATCAACACGAACTCAACAGACTGCTCAACACACAGCACATTCAGGTTGTGACTTCTGCAATTTTCTTTATTTTCCAAAAATACTTGTAATTCTAGGATGTACCCATGGGTATAGAATATGTAGCTATGAAAGGTCAGTGATCATTACCTTTGCATAAATGGGATGCTGGCACCAATCGCTTTTAGATCTTTTAAATGCTTTGTTGCCAGCACCATGCCATAGACAGACAGACATACACACACACACACACACACACACACACACACACACACACACACACACACATACACACAGGCGCAGTTTTGCCAATTTGTGAACACTAACTGACATATGTTTATAAAAAATGTTATATGGTAAAAATATGACTACATCTCAAAGAATTCGTTCAGGATTACAAACTAAAATGCTAAGTATGAAAAGGCATCACTGAGGTGAAGATAGAGGTCTGTGGCACAGCACGTGCCTAGCATGTACAAGGCCCTGAATTTGATCCCCAGCACTACAAAAACTGTATAGCAGGGGTGCTGCATTGTATAAATTTAATATGCAGAGTTTTCTGTTATGGATAGTAAAAGTATTTTGTCTGAGAATATGGTGTTATAAAGCCAAGTAAAGGGTTAGAGTTTCGTAGAATCTACTTCACGAGATTCCTTTATCCCTTTTTAGCATTTGTATTTTACCTTTTTAAAACTTAGCATTCAGAGTTTTAGGCTTCGGTATTGCATTTTCCTACTTTTGTGTTGATTCTTCCCCCTGCTTTCCAATGCCCCTGCTCCTTTACTGCTCCATCCTGCTGCAATATTCCCCATCCACTTCATGTTACATATGTTCTATTACTGTCTTTTCCTTTCCTCCCTCCTTCCTTAACACCCCCATTTCCTCATGCTCCCCTTTCTAGTTTTATAGTTTCCTATACACACAAACAAAAATGAAAATCTATGATTTGGGGGTTAGGCAGATGGCTCAGTCAATAAGGTGCTTAGAAGGCAATAGCTAGTTTCATCCTCTGAACCCACATTTTAAAAATGCCAGGTGTGTACTTGTAATCCCAGTGCTGGAGAGGCAGGTGGATCACTGGGGACAGATGGCCAGCCAGCCTACTCTAATTGACAAGCCCCAGGTCACAGAAGAGATGCAGCCTCAAAAAAAGTGCTTGAGGAACCATACCAGAGGTTCTCTTCTGGTCTTCACTTATGTATACATGAACATATGCACATAAATATACACAAAATCTAGGCTCCAAATAGGAGAGAAGACACACAGTGTTTGTTTTTCTGAGTCTGGATTATTTTGCTTAATATGCTAATTTATATTCCAATCTGTTTTCCTGTACATATCATGACTTTATTTTCCATTATGGCTGAATAATTACCACATTTTCTTTATTCATTAATCGGTGGACAGATATAAAGAGTGTTGTCTGTTTCTTGACTATTATGAATAGTGCAGTAATAGATACAGGTGTGTTCAAGTATCTCATACTCATTTTCATAGTGGCTCTAGTAGTTTAGTCTCCAAGAAGCAGTTAATAAGGGTCCACTTCTCCCACATCCTCTCCAGCTTTTTTTTTTTTTTTTTTTTTTTTTTTTTTTTTTTGTTTTTGTCTCTTTTTTTGTTCATGATTTATTTTTATGTGTACGAATGTTTTGCCTACATGTGTATATATGCACCACATGTGAGGTACCCCAGAGACTGTAAAAGGAGATCAGATCCCCTGCAACTGGAATTGCACTCAGGTGAGTGCTGAGTCCTGTGCAACATCAGTAAGTGCTGAGCTGGCTCTAGCCCCATGATTTTCTAATGATGATAGCCATTTTGACTTGGGTGAGATGGAATATCAAAGTAGTTTTAATTTTCATTTTCCTGGTGGCTGATGATGTCAAACACTTTGTAAAATGCTTATTAGCCATTTGTATTTCTTCTTTTGAGAACTTTCTGTTCAGTTTGTTACCTTATCGGTTGATCTGATAATTTGTTTTTGTTATGTTTGATTTTTGCATTCCTTTAGCTATGAACTCCCTGCCTGGAATTTAGCTGGCAGAGATTTTCTCTGATTCTGTATATTGTCTGCTGATAGTTTGCATTGCTGTGCAAGTACTTTTGACATTCATGTAATCCCATTTATCAGTTCTTGGGATTATTGCCTGTACCATTGGAATCCCTTGCAGAAAGTTTTTGCCTGTGCTTTTATCTAGCAATTGCCGAATTTCAGGTCTTACGTTAAGGTCTTTGGTTCATTTGGATTTATTTTTGAGGTAGGTGACAGATACAGATCTAATTTTATTCTTCTGTATGTCTAAATGCAGTTTTCAAAATAGCTGTAATGAATACCAAAGTTTCAAGTAATCCCTCACAGTATATTAAAATAAGACTAGAAACCAACAGTAAGAGAAACTGTAGAGATACTTGGAGGCTGAAAAATACTTTTATGAATGTATTGAAATCAGGGAGGGAATTTTAAAATTCCTAGAATCAAAAGAAATCATAACACAACCTACAAGAACCTCTGGGATATAGCTAAGCATTCCTAGAGGGAAAGCTTATAGCTATAAGTGCTTACTTTAAAAATTCATAGTAGGATCTGGAGAGATGAATCAGTAGTTACAAGTATTTGCTGATTTTGCAGGGAACCTAGCCATTCTTCGCACTAGCCACATGGCGTCTCACAACTGTCTGTAACTCTAGTTCCAGGGAACTCAATGCCCTCTTCCGACTTCCGAGCAGAGGCATGCATGTGGTATATTCATGTACATGCAGGTAAAACACCATATACATGAATAAAACCTAACTTTTTAAAAGCAGTGGTCTGAAACTAATGGAATACCACAAGTTTTTAGGGCAGAAATACATGAAGTAGAGACTAAAAGAACAATATTTAGTGGCCAGGTGGTGGTGGCGCATGCCTTTAATCCCAACACTTGGGAGACAGAGGCAGATGGATCTCTGAGTTTGAGGCCAGCCTGGTCTACAAAGAGCTAGTTCCAGGACAGCCTCCAAGACCATACAGAGAAACCCTGTCTTGGGGGGTGGGAAGAGACACAAAAAAAAACATTTAGAATCAGTGAAATAAAAATCTGAAGTCCAAACTAACTAAAAAATAAAAAAAAAAACTGAAATTAATAAAGTCATAGATGAGGCACATTTTATAATAACTCACCCCACTGAATCCAAGAAGGACCAGAGGACTGATCAATATGGGAAACTTTGAAAATTTCCTTTAAGGTACAAGTCAAATACTACATTTCTTAGAGAAGACGTCTTCAACACCTTCCATACTTTTAACAGTTAAGTAAAAAATAAAAAGAGGTCAGAGATTAGTTAAACTTAGTTGCTCACTTATCCACTATGCTTTTCTTGTCCCCCTATTTGTGGTTTTAGGAAGAAGGAAATACAGTGGGTTATAGTAAATGTATTTTTAAAAGGAATCCCAGAGTGATGGTAGGAATAGAATTTAGCAAGATGAATCAGGATGTGAAGAACCATAGTTAATTATCTGATGAATTGCTAACCTAATGTATTTATTTTAAAGGAAAGCCCAGAAGAAAGGACAGTGGACTTGAGCTCTATTCGGGTAAATAAATTTACTTTCATCATGGATATTGATTTAATGAAGCTTAATCAAGAGATTTTTGTATGCCTTTACTTCTTTCTTAGTCTTAGTTCTATTGCCTACAAAACGTGAAATTGGAATGTTTGCCTTTGTAATGTTGTCAAGTAACTTTGATCCAGATTTATCAGCATAGACCTTCATTGTCTCTAGAATATAAGTCTTCATAGTTTGACTATTGCTATTCTGATCATTCATTGTCTCATGTAATAGTACAGTTTTATGTATCTAAAGTGAATCTGATGTAAGAACACTGTATACAGTATTCTCATTATCCTAGAAAATCCTCCTGGGTATCATAATAGACTGTGAGTGGCATAATATCTTTTGTGTCATCTATTTTAGATACTAAGTTTCTAGTATCCATTTCATAGTACTTTGATGAATGTTTTCCCATTACAATTAAAGAAATATTTAGAGCCCTTGGATTAATTTAGTGACTTAGCTCTAATCATGAACCTAGCTCTTCTAAGCTGATGGTTGCAATATGTGTTCAGGATATTGTACAATTTTCTGGGGAAAGAACAGGAGGCAGGGAACAAATATTCATGTTCATTAAGTCATTTTTTTTTTCCTTTTCTTTACCTGCAGGGGAAGAAATGGAACCAGTATCTGGACTATTTATTTTCAGAGGGTTTTAAGGGCTTGAAACTTTTCATAAAAAGTAGTATCCATCGATTTTCTATATCCTAAACAGAGAACCAATCCACAATGGTGAACATTAGAGGAATGTTGACATAAACAAACTGAGCATGCTGATCTAAATTCCTCATGGCTAGAGAAGCCACGTAGGTCAGCATGTGTTTCCATACCCATTTCCCAAGCCAACTGCTGTATTCAAGGAGTACCTAGACTTGCCTTCTGTCCATGGCTCAGGAGAGCCTTGGTGTGACCCAAATTATTTTTTAGCATTCATATTTTTAGCTTACTAATGAAAAATATCCTCTTCACGTTGGCTTTCTGGTGGGAATTTTTATCTGCTGTTTTAGTAGAGGAGAATAAATAATATAAAGTCATTCTGCAGACATTGTTATGCTGTTATACTGTGCAAGTTCTGAAATCCTGGTAACATTTTCTGTTTTTCTTATTTCAACACTATTGGCAACATCAAGTTACTTATAATAGGATGCAACATATTCCCGAGAAGCTGATGATTATCTGGACCTGCACTGGCAGTAATGTATGAGGGAAGGAAGCAGGGAGAGGGTGATGAATTTTCTGATTTGACTGGTTTGAGTTCCTAAAACCATTATATTATTTGTGTGTATATGTATGTATTTATATATGTATTCAGATTTTAAATTCCTATACCTAAATAAACTAATGTCAGCTTTACCTTCAGGATTAATTCTGAAGAATAAAAAAAAAATCCATAACAGGGAGATTATTTTTGTTGAAAATTCATTGAACATTTTGCTTCTCCACTATTGAACAACTTCTGTACATTCACATTTAATAACTACTGAACAATTTCCATTTAATACATTCACACTGAGAATAACATCTGATTTTTTCAGTGGAGACTCTGGAAGCCAGAAGAGACTGGAGAGATATTTTACAAGCTCCAAGAGACCAGAGATGCCAGCATTGGCTACTATACCCAGCAAAACTATCAATCCCAATCTCTAAAGAAACATTCCACAATAAAAACAAATTAAAGCAATTTCTGTTTACCAATCCAGTTTTATAGAAAGCACTAGAAGCAAAACTTCACTTCAGTATGAAGAGAAGAATACACCCAAGAGGACACAAGGAATACATAATCCTAGAACAGTCAGTCAAAATGGGGGAGGTTCTCACACCACCACAACAAAAATAAAGGAAATTAATAAGAACTGCTCATTAATATTTCAATATTAATGGTCTCAATTCCCCAATAAAATCATATAGACCAACAGACTGGGTTAAAAAAAACCAAGAAGCACACCTCATTACCAAGGATAAAACATCACCTTAGGGTAAAAATGGAAATGAATCCTGACAAAACAGACTTCAAACAAAACTAATCAGGAGAGATAGAGAAGGGCACTAGCTACTCATTAAAGAAAAAAAATGCACTAAGAAGATACTAGAATTCTAAACATGTACTGTATTAGAGTTCTCTTAAGATATATAGATATTGCAGGTTTTGGTCTGACGAATCCATCAATGTAAAGTCCAAGAATCCAGCAGTTGCTCAGTCTGCAAGGCTGGATATCACAGCTGATTTTCAGAATATTCCAAGATTCCAAAGAAGTAGGCTCTAATACTGACGAAGAAATGAACTTGCAAAACTTCCTTTCTTGTCCTTTATATAGTCTTCCATGAGAAGGTGTGGCCCATATTTAAGTTGAGTTGTCCTACCTCAAATGACCCAACTAACTAAAAATCAATGGCTTGTGTTCTTGGTTAATTCCAGAAGTAGTCAAATTGACTACAAGTAATAACTACCACATGCATCAAGTTCCATTCTCAGCACTTACACAGAGGACCACATTCATATGTAACTCCAATTCCAGGGGATCCAATGTCCTCTTCGGTACTCTTTGGTCACCAGGCATGCATGTGGAGTACATACATATATGAAGCAAAACACTTATCCACATGAAAACAAACCGTTTTTAAAGAGGACAGAAAATGAAAGAAGGAAATATTTTAAATTATGGCTAACAGAGCCCTAAGCCTGATGAAATCTACATCCAAGAAGCTCAAAAAATGTTAGCAAATCAAATCTAGTAATATACTGTATAAAAAAGGATTAATTATATTCTGTGACAAACTGGGATTCACCCCAGGGATGCCAGGTTCATTTAACATTGCAAAATGACTTAATATGTCATGTCAAAATGTTCTTTTAAAAAGTAAAGACAATCTAATAAATGCAGAGACATTCCATATTCATCTAGAAGACTGAATATATCATGCTCTTCTACAGTTTAATGCAATCCTCGTTTAAAATCTCAGCTGACATTTACAGAAACCAACAAGTTAATTTTAAAATTCCAATAGGACGGGTTGAGGGAGGGAAACAAGAGGTCATATGTAAAGTGAGTATGTAAAGAAGTCAGAGCAAATAGGAGAACATAAGGGGTCATGGGAAGAGAGAGAAGTAAATATTTGGGGGAAAATGTCATAATGAAATCTACTTATTGGTAAGCTAATAAAGCTTTCTTCAGATAGACATCTAAGGGACTCTGAATTGCTACAATAGTGTTGATACACAAAACAAGCAACTAGAAACCATGAGAGGACTCACACTTCTTGATTTCAAAGCTTACTATAAAAGTACACTAATCTTGTTTTGGGATGTCCTCTGGAGAAGATTACTTGGACACTGGTTTATGCTAACAATAACCAGCTGGTGACTACACTAGGTGTTTTGGGATCTCAGTGTAGCTCTAGGTTTTCCTCAGGGTGAGCTTTTAAGCACAAAAACAATATCTTGTGTTGACATACAACATTTAGTTAGAACAATTAGCCAGAAGCAGAATTACAGAACCCAAAAAACAAGGGTAGTAGTACATTTAGAGACTTTCCCAGAACTCTGAAACTGCGATGGATTAAGTCTTAATTTTCATTTTGGCAGGCGGTGTTGTCTGTGCTGAATGGAGTTTTAGGGCCTGAATAGTACTTCCATTATGGAGCCAGTTGTGCTAAGGTCTGGGCACCTGTTATAATCTCAGTGTGGTGTGGCTGTTGTGAGAATAGATTATAGAATAGGGATGGGGATGACTCAGCAGTTTAAGAGCACTTGATGCTCTGGCAGAGGACGTGGGTTTGGTTCCCAACACCCACATTAAGTGTCTCACAACTGCCTGTACTTCCAGTTCCATAGTATCTGACACTCATCTAACCCCTGCAGGCATTCAAATGCACATGTGCGCGCGCGCGCGCACACACACACACACGAGCGCACAGAAAGAATAGACATAGATCAATGAAGTAAAACTGAGAATTCAGAAATAAATGCATACATTTGGGATCATTTGACTTGAGGCACAATTGCTAAGAAAACTCAGTGTGGTAAAATCAGTCCTTTCAAAAATGGTGCTGGACTGGCTATCACAATGCAATAGATTCTGTTTTGATTTCTACAACATTCCATATGCAAAAATTAGCACAAAATAAACCTGAATGTGATGTTTTAAACTGTTAGATTCCTAGACAAAACACAGGAGTATATCTTTATAATCTTACATCAGGCAGTGCTTTTTTTTTAAGCTATGGAACATGCACACAATGAAAACTGAAAATCAAAATTAAAATGTCCATGCTTCTGGATGGATGTAGTGATACACACCTTTAATCCCAGCACTCGAGAGGCAGAAACAGGCAGATCTCTTGAGTTTCAAAGCAGCCTGGTCTACAGAGTGGGTTCCAGGACAGTTAGGCATACACAGATAAACTCTGTCTCAAAAAAAGAAAAGAGAAAGAAAGAAAGAAAGAAAACAAAAATTTCAGGCTTCTGATGACACCATTATGAAAATGGAATTGAGCTAGGTTTGGACTTAATAGCAAGACCCCCTCTTTGAAAAAAAAAAAAAAACTACTGTGAAATGGAAACACAAAATGGGAATTGATAATTTTTTTTTTTTTTTTTAAGACAGGGTTTCTCTGTGTAGCCCTGGTTGTCCTGGAACTAGCTCTTGTATACCAAGCTGGCCTCGAACTCACAGAAATCTGCCTGCCTCTGTCTCCCGAGTTCTGTGATTAGAGGCATGCACCACCACCGCCTGACTTGGAAATTGATAATCTTGTATTAAGGATATATGTAAGAACTATCACAGCTCTGTGGTTTAAAATATGCAGAGTGGAGCAAGGATCTGAAAAGCCGTTTTCCCAGAAGGGTGTGAGTATATAGTATGAGTTTGTAAAGGTTGGTCTTGGTTCAGGGTTTCAGTCCATAGTCCCAGACTCCTTTGAAGCTGGGTACATGGCGAGGCAGAACTTGCAGATAGGAAAAATAACACGAGGGCTATTCACCCCATGTTGCATGGGAAGCAGGGAAAGAAGGGGACATGGTATAACCATCAATGGTGTGATCCCAGTGATGTACTTCTTTCCCCACCTTCTAAAGTTTCTACTCTTTCAAGGTAGCAGTACCCACATGAGCTGGAGGGGGTCAGAAGTTTCATATTCAATTCATAGCACTACGCTGGCCCTTAACCTAACCTACAGGTCACAGATCCTTAAGACCTGTCATCTCAATTCATTTCCAAACACAAGAAAATTAGTCTAGATTCAGGAAGAGCAAGAAATTCGAATTGAACTCAAGCTCTTCATTTAGGAGCTTTCCTAAGGTATTTTTTCATGGTGATGACAGCTATCCCAGGCAGTAGCTGAGCCTAAGAACTACTGCTCCTGCAGACCACCGTATTCTGTAAGCCTCTTTATATAAGAAAAGCCTTATTGGATAAAAATTGGTACTTCATTCTTTTAGACAGGACCTCCTGTATCCCAGGGTGGCCTCAATCTCATCATGTAGCCCAGAATGGCCTTAAAATTCTGATCTTCCTGCCCGCACCTACAGAGTGCTAGGATTACAGGTGTGCATTGCCACGCACACTCTCTGAGCTGCTAGGGATGGAACGCTTGGCCTTGTATGTTAGCTTGATAAACTGTTGACCAACTGAACTCCACCCACAGCCCCGGCTTAGAAACAGGTATTTCCTGTGCTGGCCATGAAGTTTAAGTTGGTTTGGGTTTTTGACAGATAAACAGTTTTTAAACTCATCTGACTGCCTTCTGCACTCCCTTAGTGG